TCTGGAAATAACTTTCAAGATTCTGGATTAACGCTAGGGGGCGTAACCTGCGAAGAAAAATTTTGAAAACCAGTTTTTTGGGAAATATGTCAAGTATACCAAGTGTTAAATAAGTAAACTAGAAAGGGGCATAAATTCTGCACAAAGTTGTTCAAGTACTTTTTTTTTATTTTTTTAAATAAAGGGTGGGGGAGAGTGGGAAAGTATTTGTGGATAAATACTTATAACTTTGGTTTGGTCCAACCGATTTTAATGAAATTAGTGTCATTAGAAAGAGTGTAGATGAATTAATTTACATCTACTATAAAATATTTGCATTTAGTTTTCATAGTCGTAGGTAGAGGGGACTTTCAAATAAAAAAAAATTAAAATTTGTTTTTCTTCAAAATTTTTAATGGAAACACCTATTTATTGTAAATTATAATGGAACTGGAATAAATTCGTAACAAAATGGAGCAAACCGCATGTTAATAGCATTTGTTGAACTCGAGATATGAATAAAAACTCATAAACATAAGTAAGTATAGTATTGACACACCCTGTATTATAAATTACATTAAAAAATAAGTCAGTAGGTATTTTCAATTTTTTATAGCAGAAGAATCTTAATGTTGATACCTATTTTGTAAAAAATAGTTTTTTGGAAACTAAGTAGGCTACGACAATGAATTTGACGGGGAGTTCATATTGTTTATTTATTGACAGCAGTCAAAACATTGTTAAGAAGTGCTATATTATAATTCGAATTAAAGATTGCATTTTTTTCAACAGATATTAATATTGGTAATATTAGTAATTAATTATCAGTACAAATAATTCGTGATGAGTATATCAAATTGTATGATATGATTGGAGTTTATTTCGAATGTCACCAAAATGCCGCTTTTGCCTCACGTATATATTTTGTGAGATATCGTGACAGGAGACATTATGGCAAAGAAGTATTTGAAAGAAAGGCAAACAGATTAAGAGAAAATGGTAGTTTTTCTTTCTCGTCCTTGTTTTAAACAACGTAGTAGAGTTATGACCGAAGATAATTCAATCAATGTTCTTGCTTTAATTCAACAGAATCCACATATAAGTAGTCCGAAATCTCTACTTCTTTGCCACAATATCTCCTGCCAGGATATCTTACAGAATATATACGTGAGGCAATAGCACCATTTTGATGATATTCGAGATAAACTCCAATCATATCATACAATTTGATATACTCATCACGAATTATTAGTACTGATAATTAATTACTAATATTACCAATATTAATATCTATTGAAAAGAATGCAATTTTCAATTCGAATTATAATACATATAAAACTTCTTAACAATATTTTGACTGCTGTCAATAAATAAACAATATGAACTCCCTGTCTAATTCATTGTCGTAGCCTACTTAGTTTCGAAAAAACAATTTTTAATCATATGAAATAACAATGGTCAAAATAGGTATTAACATTAGAGTTTTCTGCTATAAAAAATTTTGAAAGTACCTACTGACTTATTTTTTAATTTATTTTATAATACAGGGTGTGTCAATACTATACTTACTTATGTTTATGCGTTTTTATTCATATCTCGAGTTCGATAAAAGCTATTAACATGCGGATTGCGCTGTTTTGTTACAAATTTAATCCAGTTCCATTATAATTTACAATAAATAGGTGTTTCTATTAAACATTTTAAAGAAAAAACAAATTTTAATTTTTTCTATTCGAAAGTACCCTCTACCTACGACAATTAAAACTAAATGCAATTATTTTATAGTAGATGTAAATTAATTCATCCATACTCTTTCTAATGACACTAATTTTGTTAAAATCGGTTGATCCAAACCAAAGTTATAGGTATTTATCCACAAATACTTTCCCACTCTCCCCCACCCTTTATTTGAAAAAAATAAAAAAAAAGTACTTGAACAACTTTGTGCAGAATTTATGCCTCTTTCTAGTTTACTTATTTAACACTTGGTATAATTGGACATATTTCTCAAAAAACTGGTTTTCAAAATTTTCTTCGCAGGTTACGCCTCCTAGCGGTTAATCCAGAATCTTGAAAGTTATTTCCAGCGATTTCTCTTGGCCACTTTTACTGAATTTTTTTATCCTAAAGTTACAACATGAATAGTTTCTGATATATAGCCGAGAGATCGGCTTATTGGACCACCCGGTACATCTTTCATAACTGACGTTTGAAGAGTCGCTGAACTTTTTTGGTTTTGGCTAAAATTTGTTACTTAAATTTCCACTTTTTAATGAAAACTTTAAAGTAGAACTAAAAACCCTCAAGCAAATTGCTTTAAATAATGGTTATGATCCCAACATTATCCATAAGCTTCTAAATATAGCTAAACTCAAAATTGCAGAAAAGCTTGCATATTCATTACAATGTATATTAGCAACATTTCCAATAAAATATTCAAACTTTTTACTTCTACAATTGAAAACATCAAAATTTCCTTCGTCACACAACACTTCAGGTTCCTTTCTAATCAACACCAAAGATAGGATGAGCACACGTGACAAAAGTAGTATTTATAACTTAAAATGTGATGATTGGATGCCTTATGAACGAAAAAGCCGGAGTAAAGATCAACGGTCACCCCATTTGCAATATCCGATATGCTGATGATACCGCGCTCATAGCAGAAAATATTGATGACCTACAGAGATTACTAAACAAAGTGGTGGAAGCAAGTGAAGAATTTGGTCTGTCACTGAATACAAAGAAGACCAAATTCATGATAATTACAAAGAAACGTATCAATAATATCAACTTACATGTAGGACAGAATCTCATTGAACGAGTACAAAATTACAATTACCTCGGAACAAATATTAACGAGTCAAACGAATACACCAGAGAAATAAGAATAAGAATAGAAAAAGCCCGCAGTGCCTTTAACAACATGAAATAAATGTTGTGTAGCCGAAACCCAAGCCTAAAGCTGAAAATACGAATGCTTAAATGTTATGTTTTCTCGTTCCTGTTATATGGGGTGGAGGCGTGGACACTAAATAGCAATGTATGGGTAACATGGAGGCATTTGAGATGTGGGCGTACCGAAGAATGTTAAAAATCTCCTGGAAGGATAAGATAACTAACCAAGTTGTATTAGGCAGGATGAACAAACAAAAGGAGGTCGTATTGAGTGTTAAAATGAGGAAACTACAATACCTGGGACATATTACACGTGGGAATAAATATCAACTGTTACAACTAATTATGCAAGGAAAGATTGAAGGTAGGCGCAGCATAGGTAGGAGAAGAATGTCATGGTTGAGAAACCTCAAGGAGTGGTTTGCTTGCACTTCCATACAATTGTTCCGAGCAGCAGCCTCCAATGTCAAAATTGCCATGATGATAGAAAACCTTCGTAGCGGAGATGGCACGTGAAGAAGAAGATGTAGGCAGAACCATTAGAAAGTTATCTACTAGAATTTCAAAACATTTGAAAAGACCAAACTATTCAAGTTTTGATCAACACTTATTATCCAGTAAACACAATTTTAACATCAAGACTGGTTCATTTTACTTACATGACATTAGTAGAAAGAAAAACTACTTAAAGTTGGATTTATTGGAAGATTTGAAGATTACAAGGGAAACAAGTGAAAACTGTCACTGTCTTAATACTCAAATTAATTTAAATTGTACTAAATTTAAACCTACTTTTAAAAACTTTATTTCAGCTTCACTTCGAGGAGGACCCAGCTTGGCTGTTTAGACTTCCTGCACTGAGTATACCATTAAGAATTCATTAATTTCATACTTTAATTAACATTACTATTTTATTCTTTAATAATTTACAAAACTAGCTTGCTCAGGTTCAATTGATCTATAGTTGGCGATAATTACACTCTCCATATCTCTACTTACTTTAGATATTCCATCTCAGTTGTATATTTCAACATCTCCCACTGTTGGTCAGTTGCTCTTGAGTAATGCTTTGACATTTTAATTTTATGTTTCTCCCATTGACTGTGGGTTTAACTGAACTACTTGGATTATACCCCATCTATGCACGCTGCTTTTAATTTTGATTTTTAATTTTAATGTTATAGTTAGATTTCTTGTTTTCTACAGTATTGATAGTTCTTGGTAGACTTTTTTATTGTAGTCAACCACCCATAGTCTAATAGATTGCTTAGTCTGTTTCTTATATTCATACTTTACGTCTACTTAAATTGCCCTCAAACTAACCCCACAATTATTATAGACAGGTTTGAGTGTGAGATCTGTATTATCCTATCTACTTAAAATATTCTATATAACTTTATATTTCATCAGTTGATTTCCTATAGTAGTGTCAATTGGACCTTTGGTCAGTACTTAGTTTCATAGAATTTTGAAATGTGCAGATCACATCACCATCATTGTGACTGCTCATCCAAGAAGTCATATGTCACATGTCACCTTAACATTTCCGTTAAGAGCGGGAGCCATTCTCTATCCTGATGCCAACCATAATGTAGCTTCTCCTTTTTAAAAATTTTAAACTGTTTGTCCTTGTATAGTGTAGTTTATTGTACAATTTAATGTTTATGACATTCTCTACAAATTGCTGGATAGGCCAAAATTGATGAAGTTTATATCACATAAAAACTTTTATCAACCTTCAACTTCGAGTTTTTTATCTGTATTATCTAAGTTATTTGATTTTCATCAGTTAAAAAAAATGTTTTTGTCTTATTTCAGATGCCCCTAAAAAGCGAAAGTACTTGGGCAAGATTTAATTAATAGACTGTGCTTAAATTACATAATTAAGTTAAATAATTATTTTTAAAATTCAACTTTACGCTAGTTTCTTTCTTAATTGATAAAATGCGCAGTTTTTCTTCTTAGACACACGTTTAATAATAAAAAAATATTTTAATATATTTGCTGTAAATTGGCTGTACTACTATTATATACTATTTCTAAATTTTACTAGAAATAAAACTAAAATGCGGTAAAACATATTTTATAAAAAAAAAAACAAAACAAAATACATATTTGGAAAACTAGTTCTTTAATCTTAAGATTTTTTCAATGCCATCATAGAGGTCATTGGCGAATACTTCAGGTTTTTCGAAAGCAGAAAAATGTCCTCCGTCTATATCAGTAAATTGAACACAATTTACAAAAATATCTTGGATAGCACCATCTGGTGAGTAGAAGTCGTACTCGTATCTCGCAACTGCTGTTGGTATTTTAATAGGGTGCCTAAAAAGAAGTTTCATCAGAAATAGTAAACAACTCTACTTAATTAAATATTAGAAATTACTATTCTAAAAAGTAAATAAAAAGTTCTGAGTAGGTACAATAGACAAATCATCAATTGCAAAATAAATAGCTCATCAATAGTGGTGGAAATCGTTAGGAAAGGAGAAAAAGGAGCACTTTAGTAAATGTCAACAAATGAACACCTGACTCATTTTAAAAATAAAACAATTTCTCAATTGGTAATATATCTTTGAAAGCTTTAATATTTGTACTATTATCATCATCATTATCATCCTCCAGCCCTTTGAATCCACTGCTTGACATAGGCCTCCCTCATTTTTGTCCATTTTGTCAATTTAATATAGGGCGCCACTTGAGGTGCCTAATTACGCCTATTACAACCACTAGTTGTAACTAGGGAAATAATTATAAAACATCAAAACATATCTTCTTCAAATAAGACTCAAAAAAGGGTTAGTTAAAAAAAATAAATAAAATGTTAAGAAAACAAAATTTAACATTTATTTTTGTGTCATACCACAAACAGTTACAAAACATAGAGAACCAAGAATATTAAAAAAAAAAAATACAAAAATATTACCACGATAATCGCAAAATACAAAAAACTTACATGCGTTTTACTAATTTACAAATTCAGGAGATGTAACGAAAACTTACTAATGTTACTGACGTATAAGGTATGGCAAATATAAAAGTTATTGCAAATACAAAAAATTTCCTTTTCAAAGCGATGAAAGCAATTATTATAAAAAAATGTCTGTCTGTACTTTGAAAATTAAACATACAATAAAAGTTACCTGAATTTCACTCATAAACACGCACATAACCCCGAAACTTGCTATATCTCTGAGACTGGAGCTGCAAGGACGAAACTCTGGAACAAGGGGAACCATTTCCATACTCAGAAACAAAAGAAGACCATCTCCATAATTTTGAACGCTGATCTAACGTAGATGAGGTGGATCAAACAAGAAAAACGATAACAAAGCTGTGGGATATTCTATATATGGCTTCAAAATTATACCATGCTCTGGTACACCACACAAATTATTTTTTTACTGCTAGATATTACCACTGAAGGGGCCAAAAAAAAGAAGAACACAAATTCGACGGAGAATTTGCGGATCCATCTTGCGATCCACACAGCGAACTGCTCGGCGACCCAAGCATGAATGACGAACTTAAAAATTCGTTCATATAACTTGAAAACAAACAAAACGCTGACATAACAAAACACAACGAAACAACGTAGTAGATTCCATTTGCGACGTATCAAAATTGAATACCTGACTTGCAATTTTTTTTCTAAGAACCTCTTTCTACAAAACCTAAACAAACAATATCTCGCTTGATATTCGTTTTAAACGACGAACGACAACAAAACCTCTTTTTTGCCTATCTCGTCAAAAAAACTTGAAATATTCTACTTTATCAATTAAATTAGAGCAAGAACTTTTTATATAATTTTAAACTACGACAAAAATTTAACAAATGGCTACTAATTATGCAGCTAAATAAAATTAATTACATAGTTTTACATACTTTTAAAAATCTTGCACTAATACATCAACTCCAACAAAATATGACATTTTCAAAAATTCTTTCTTTGCCGGCAAAACATCGTCATTGTTTTAGGTATAGTTTGAACGAAACTCTGTTAGATGTAGCAACAGGTATTAAACGCGAAATAATATTAGGCCGTAAATGTAAATATTTCATGACTACCATTACCCCAGCGGCCAGCATTCCCCCCTTTCCCATATACACTAAAGATATCAAAAGTTTTTAAATGAAGTAGCGTGATGTTTACTTTCCTGTTGATAATTTGCTTAGTTAAATTTAAAATAAATTAAAAGTATGTATAAAAAATAATCGATAAATATTAATACTTACTGGAGGATACCTTTAGCATTATTGGCTTTGTTAAAAGTTTCTGCATATAACCTAAAAGAAGTTGTAGCCGCACTATTAAGCCAATAGAACATGATGTTGTCCAATAAAGAGTCATAGGTGTAACTCTCCGAAAGGCCACCTTCTACTAGTAAAGCGTTTTCATAGTTTGTCCCGGCCACAAATTTTTCTAAAATATATGCCGCCAAACCAATCGGAGACTCATTCATAGCAACACCTAAAAATAATATAACTATTAATAAAGGAATAACGACAATTTTTCTCCCCAACAAAAACTGTCATCTTTTATCCGATCAATCAAAGACAACATTCCAAATGATCAACACGAAATTTATGAAATTGTCTGCGCAAACTGCCCCCGATCTTATAATATAGGCCTAACAGATCGTAGAATTCAAAATAGGATTTATGAACATTCCATTTCCGTTCGCAATTCCGATTAAATTTCAGCTCTAGATCAAAAGCATCTTCATACAGGTCAATTAATTAAGAAAACTTTATAACCATAGCCCCCATCCACTTTTATAAACCAAGAAATATTCGAGAATTCATAAAAATTAAAAAAAGGTCAAATTGTCTCAATAAAAGAGATGACGGCATCCGGTTACCTTCAACATACAGACCTCTCATAAAGAAAATATCGTTCGCACCACCCATTAAAATTCCGCCATTAGAAATGTTTGCGCAAACCCCATCTCAATCTTCACCCAAAACCACGTCACCATCTACGATATTAATGAACTGTTCAATATTCACAGTACCAGTAGCGCATTGATGTCATTGATTAGTGATCACTGTAGTAGTGTCTTACGGCTTGAAAGACTGAGACCTCTGAAGCTCTGAAGAAGGCTCCAGAGAGGATGTCGAAAGCTCGGTGCACGGATATTTGACGCCGTTTAACCCGAAAGCTTGTTGAGTTTAATATTAATTTTTGTAATATTATTAATCTTAGCTTTAGGTTTAATTGTGCTAACCGCGGAGATCTTTCGAAACATATCTATATTTAATAAAATATTGAACCTTACTTACCTAATGTATCGGGCTTAGTAGCCTGTTCATGAAGATATCCAGTTTCCCTTAATGTCAGTTCGAACTCCTCCTTGATCGGGAACACTTTTTCTCTGTGTTCTGGACGAACGTACCAGCTGGAAAGAGATGGGAACAGACTGGCAAAGAATAGTTTTATATAATGCCGAGTACTTGTAACCACCGGGAAATTGCAGTGGAAACCTTCGATTACTTCTGGATAGAGTACTACCATGTTGCGCAAAATGATGGATCCAAAATCACCGCCTTGTACGTAGAACTTTTGGAATCCTAAGTGATGCATCATGTTCTTATAGACCAGAGCAATGTTGTCCGGACTAAGGCCTGGCCTCACTGCTGGTTTGGAAAAACCAAAACCTTATAACATAAAAAAATAAAGATATTAGTTTATAATACATTTATTTAATGCAGGTGATATCAAGCATACTATCTTAAAGTTTTTTTGCTGTGCCATTGAGAAACACGAGACAACTTGATGACGAATTAGAAGTTTATATAAAAAATATCCAACAGGTAGCTTGAGTAAATACTCTAACAATACCTTCTAGAACAAAAGGGAACAACTATTCAAAAGAAATTAGAGAACTGGTAGTAGAAAAAAGAAAGTTAACAAAAAAATGGCAGCAATACAGAGCTTAGGCAAAACTACTCTAAATAATGCTGCACAAAAACTAAAAGAGACATACACAATATACAAAATTCAATTACTTTTTAAGTAATTTAATGGCTGACCAGAACACATATTATTTGTTATGGAAGGCAACAAAAAGAATAAAGAAACCAATTATTCATTCTCCTTCTATTAAGTTGAAAAATGGCAATTAGGCTAGAAGTAACGAACAGAAAACAGAACGATTTGCAGATCGTTTAGAAAGCACGTTGAAACCTAACGAAAATGATGTTGAAGAACTGACATGATAAGTACCATTCCAAAGCGAAGAAAGAATAACGTTGACATCCTATGTAAGTTCCAGGATATGATCTCATAACAGGAGAAATATTAAAAAATCTATAAAGAAAAGCCATAGGTAAGCTGTCAGACCTAATAAATTCTACTTTTACATTAAGATATGTCCCCAGACTCTGAAAAGACTGAAGTCATTACTTTTAATGAAGTGAGATCCTATCGACCAATATTACTCCATCCGGTGAGGTCAAAACTATTCGAAAAACTTCTATTGAGAAGATTAAAACTAATAACAGAAAGAAAAAATCTTATGCCTAATCATCAATATGGTTTCAAAAATAAACACTCCAATATGGATGAAGCTAACAAAATAACGAATATAATAGAAAAAACATTAGAAGAAAAGAAAGTCTGCTCTACAATCTTTTTGGGCGTAGCACAGGCGTTATGATAAAGTCTGGCATAAGGGGTTTTAACTATAAACTAAGAACTTTTATGCCTAAGCAATATTCAGAAATTATTAGCAACATTATGAATATTAAAAAGTACTCCTAAGACAAGATCAAGTAAAATTCTTTAAGAAGCAGTATCTTTGAGATTTATTAAAACCTTCTTCGTAATTCGTTGGAGCAAAGTGTAGATTCACGGTTTTCACTAATATATTAAATACATTTTTTCATATCAAGCTTACCTGGAATATGTGGAGCTATAACTTCAAACACAAAGTTTCTTCCCTTTTGCGGTGTTGTCAACAATGGAAACAATTCATAAAATTCCCTTACGGATCCCGGCCACCCATGTAAAATTAAAAGGGGCAGCACTTTAATGTCAGACGAAACTTTTGGTTTAATGTGAACGTAGTGTAGGTCTAAGCCCTGGATATTGAGGGTGAACTGTGGATATTGGTTCAAGTACTTCTCCCGTTCTCTCCAGTTATACTTCGTCCTCCAATAATCGACTATCTTCTGGACTAGGTTGCTGTTAATACCATATTCGTGTACGATTCCTTCAAGAGGAGGAGTGAATGGTCGGTGGTGGTCAAGGCGATATTGAAGATCTTTGAGTACCTATAATAGTAATATATTAAAATTAATACCAATGTCCATGTCATCTTTGTTATGCGATTTGATATTGAAAATCAACTACTGAAGTAAGATAAAGCTCTCAATCAAATTGCCAATTGTAAGCACATAGTTTGCTGCTGAAACTTTTTTTAATGTTTATAGGTAATTTGTATCTTCTGAATTTAAAAGTGCCACCAGATTTGCTCCATCAGATTGTTTTCACAAAATACGACAACAGATCATAAAGAAATAATAAATAAGACTTACTGACAATCAATTTAATTTAACTATCCAGACGACCGGTTTCCCTTTCTACAATATGCAAAGCATCTTCAGGTCTCGATACAAAGTTAAATAAATGATGCGGGTACTCTATTAATTGATGGATGGTAGAACATGGTTGAAACTATCATGTGTTGTTGAATGGAGAACTTAAGTCTGCTATTGTAGTTGTTTGACAATAAATGGGAAATTCTTGAGGAGATAGATTTTATCCAATGAAGTAGAGGTAGGTGTAATGTGATTGTTTGTTAGATGAAAGTGATGTTCTATACCATTGTATTATTTACAAGGTATTTATACTTATTCAAGAGATATATTTGTGAAATGTGTGTTATTTATTGAGTATTTATTTTATGAAGGTGACAGTTTTATGACAATGAATAAGCTTAGATGTACAAATTGTGTGAGTGTGCAATTCTTTCAACTTGTAATTATCTAATTTCTTTGATAAAGTTCTATTGGCAAAATAGTAAATTATTGCAAAGTCGAGTATATAAAATTATTAAAGTTAAAACCATTAAGGACAATTCAAACACACAAAATGCATTGCTACAGGATGAAAATGGTGAAGTAATATTCGAAGTAAAGGACAAACTTAAAGAATGGGAAAATTACGTCACGAACCTATTCGAAGACGATAGAAGTAGTTCACCTCCCGATATTACTAACTGCGACGGACCCCCTAATAACACGCTGTGAGGTTATAAAGGCCATACAATCATCAAAAGATGGCAGAGCGACTGGTCCTGATGAAATTCCAACTGAAATATATAAGCTTATAAAGGATAGCAATGTTTTAGAGGCTATAACTTCGTTTTTCAATACCATTTATACCAGCGGACAACTACCTAATGGTTGGTCTAACTCACTGTTTATAGCTCTACCTAAGAAGACAACAGCAAAAACCCGTGCTGATTATAGAACCATCAGTTTGTTAAACCACTTATTGAAAATTTTTCCGAAGGTAATACATGGTCGTATCTACAATAAATGTGAGGAATACCTGGATGTCACTCAGTTTGGTTTCCGTAACGGATTTACAACGAGAGAGGCACTGTTTGGAATGAACGTACTTGCTCAAAGATGTCGTGATATATCTGTAGACATATAATGTTGTTTTATTGACTTTCAAAAGGCATTTGATCGTGTTAGGCACTCTATATTGATTGAAGCTCTAAAAGACATTGGCTTAGACGGCAGAGATGTTCGAATAATTGCAAATTTATATTGCAATCAAACAACATCAGTTTTAGTAGATGGTGTGGAATCACAAGCTCTCAATATTAAAAGAGGAGTACGGCAGGGATGCCTCTTGTCACCCCTGCTTTTTAACGTTTACTCCGAAAGAATTTTCAGAAAAGCACTTTCTGAAAAACAAGAAGGAATACTTGTGAACGGCGAAGTCATCAATAATTTGCGATATGCGGACGATACAGTACTCCTAGCTTCTAGTCAAGAAGATCTGCAAACACTACTGGATAGTGTCGTTGAGAGTAGGAAAACCAAAATACTCGTAATAAGTAAACAAACAGAATATAAAACCGTCTATATATGTAAATAATACCAAACTTGAGCAAGTTGATAAAATCGTCTACCTTGGACAGCAATTAAATTGTAATTAAGAAAATCACGGCGAAATTAGATCCAGAATAGAGCAGGCTAGAGCTGCTTTTAGAAGGATGTCCAAGGTGTTATGTAACAGAGACCTAAAATTGGCATTAAGGATCCGCCTACTTCGCTGCTACGTGTTCTCGGTCTTACTTTATGCTATCGAGTCCTGGACTGTGAATAAAATCGATCTAAATCGCCTTGAGGCTTTCGAAATGTGGTGCTATAGAAGAATTTTAAAAGTTTCCTGGGTGGAGAAGATTCGTAACTCCACATTACTAGAACGTCTCAGCAAGACTACTGAGATCATAAAAAGCATCAAGCAGAGAAAGCTGGAATATTTCGGACATGTAATGAGAGGTCCCAAATATAGATTGCTACAAAATATCATGCAAGGAAAAATAGCAGGCAAACGCAGTCCAGGACGAAGAAGAACCTCATGGTTGAAGGACTTGCAAAACTGGTGTCGTGTAGATACAAGCATGCTATTTAGGGTGGCAGTGGATAAAATTAAAATAGCTATGATGGTAACCAACGTTCTGAATGGACATGGTACATGAAGAAGAAGAAAACACACAGAAACAGAAAACACTTAGAAGGGACGAAACTAACATTAAATTTAAAAAGGGGAAGGAATTTTATGCACTTCTTCTTCTTCTTCCTTTGCCCTATCCGTTTCGGATGTTGGCTATTAACAAGGACATTTTGACTTTGTTTACGGCACCTCTGAACAGTTCGGTCGATGTTAGTCCGAACCATTGTCGCAGGTTATGCATCCATGAGTGTCGTCTTCTTCCCGGTCTCATCCGACCGTCGATTCTTCCTTGGACTATTAACTGTAGCAGCCAGTACTTAGTATGCCTCATGACATGTCCGAAGTACTCAAGCTTCCGTTTCTATACGGTGAAGATTATTTATTTGCTTTTGCCTATTCTCTGCCTTACTTCCACGTTAGTGATGTGGTCTGTCCAGGATATCCGAAGAATACGGCGATATATCCACAGCTCAAATGATTCTAGTTTTTTCAGGGTGGCTTCCGTTGTGGTCCATGCCTCTGCTCCATAGAACAAGACCGGGAAGACATAACACTTGACCAGTCTTAATTTTAGTTCCATTGATATTTTGCTTGTGAACCACTTTTTCATATTGTTGAACGCGTTTCGCGCTTTTTCAATTCGTGATCTTATTTCTGTTGACTGGTCCCATTTTGTGTTGACTGTGGTTCCAAGGTATGTGCATGTCTTCACTTGTTCTATTTTTCGGTTGTTTAATGTCAATTGCATCGGAGGTTGTTGTGTTCTGCTGATTCCCTGTCTGAACCCGCTGGTTCACTACATCTCAAGATTGTCTCCAAGACTTTTGATGCATAATTGTTACTTTTAGGTAAAAATGGTGGCTTGGGTCTTACGTAACGTGTAGGGGGAGGGGGTACCAAAAAATGTTAGATAGGAGGAAAGGCAGTTTTTAAAATGTTCAAAAGCTACACGCCTTTATACCTAAAAACCCCTTAATCTTTTATCTTCGGTTCGATATCCGAAGTGGAAATCGAACCGTCAAATCACAATCATTATAAAATATAATTTTCATTAGACACAATTGTGGTTTGGTCTCATATAAACATATTTATCTTACTAGAAACAGTTTCAATACCTTGTTTATTTACTTTAACTGTTGTTTTTATTTAGTTCCGATATATTTTCGACACGCTCTACTAATCTAGTAATCTAGTCTGACTTTTGTAGCTACAAATTTGTTTTCAAGTGATTAACAGTTAAACAGAGCAAATTAAAAAAAAAACGTTTGTTTATAAGCTATTTTTATAGTAAATATTATTTAGTAAATATTTCACTTACATCATCGGATACATTGATAGTGAAAGGTTTAACTTCCGGTTTGATAGATCCAGGAGCGCCAGGACCCCACCATTTCTCTTCTAGTTTTTCCGGTAGCGGTGGAGGTTCCATAAGTTTTTTGAACTTATTGTATGCGATATACGCAATCACAGAGAATAGCGTTAATATGAACAACATGATTGAACAGTGAAATAATACTGCACTCTAAATATTGCGGTTAGGATCGACCGGCATTTATATTTTTAATGACGGGTTAAATAATATTCAAAGATATAAGTAATTGGTAGATAATAAAGGACAGGTTTGGACTAAGAGCAATTTCATCCGTTACCAGTTAGTGGGCACTATTTCTATTAGATTTGTTAATTTTTTGTGGGACATAATAATAAAACATTATTAAATAAATAAATAAATGGTATTACGGAATAATGTCTACGGAAATAAAATGTATATCAATGAATTTTTCTTCACTTACTGATGATTATAGAATGATTTTTATTTTCCGGAAAACTTTTTTTTTATGTAATTTTCATTTAAAATACGTCTCCCAGATTTAGCCATACGGCTCACACTCCCTCTAAGGGGAAAATTTACTCATCACAGATACCTACGGTATCAAAAGGATTGAGCTCTGGTTCGACTCTTTCCGTGTTATCGAGGCCTAGGTGACTTGATATGCTGGAGTATCTCCCAAGAATTTTCGTACACATCTGGACGTTGAGAGTAGTACAGCTTTCTGCATGGTCTTGTTGAGATGTTCATTCAGACCTAGCTTTTTTATGTTTTCTAGGAGGTTCTTTGGAATGACTCCAGTAGTAGACAGAATAATAGGTATTGTCTGGGTACTTTCCATTTTCCACTGTCTTCGTATTTGAATGTCCAAATCCCTGTACTTGGCGATTTTTTCGTTCTGTTTAACACGAAGATTATTACTGTTGGGTATCGCCACATCAATTAATGTTGTTTGTCTCTTTAGTTTATTAACTAGTATGAGATCTGGTCTATTATGTGCCACTGTTTGGTCTGTGAGCACCGTGCGATCCCAGTATAGCTTGTAGTTGTCGTTCTCGAGTATACTCTCAGGAACATATTGATAATATGGAAGATGGTTTGTTTAAAGAAGTTCCAGTTTGATAGCTATCTCTTGAGAAAGGATCTTTCCTACTGAGTCGTGCCGTTCCTTATTCAGTTGCAGCAAATGCTTGACAGCCTCCGGTAAGATGTTGAATGGTTTCCTGAGCTTGGCATCCATATCGGCATTTGTCATTTTGGAACTGAGGGTCTTTGACGATATATTTCAGGTAATTTTTAGTTGGTATAACCTGATCCTGAATGGCCAGTAGTGAACCTTCTGTTTCGGGGAACATCTTTCCTGATGTCAGCCAATAGTTCGACGCTATATTGTCGACATGGTCTTGACTGACCTCATTGGGATGTCGCCGTGCAGAGGTTTGCAGCATTGGTAAACAAGAATAGAACAAGTAAATATATATATATATATATATATATATATATAATATATATATATATATCTAGGCCAAATCACTAAATTAAATAAAGAAAATCAGACCGAAGAAATAAAAAGAAAAATAAGATTGGCCTGGACATCATTCGGAAAACTGTCTTATATTCTAAAGAATTCAAAATACCCCCAATACCTAAAAACGAGAGCTTCAATCAATGTATACTCTCTGTCCTCACACATGGCTCTCAGACATGGACGTTTACAAAGGAAAATATGGAAAAAATAGCAAAGACAGAAAGATCCATGGAAAGACAAATGCTGAACAATAAACTATCAGGCAGAAAAAGAAACGAATGGATCCGTAATAAAACAAAAGTAAAAGATGTCTCAACCCAAGTAGCAAAGCTTAAATGGAAATTCGCCGAACACACCCTAAGGCAGAAAAATGAAAGATGAACTAAGACAATTATACATTGGAGACCATGGAATCACAAACAAAAAAAGGGAAGGCCACAAATGCGATGGTCAGATGACCTGAAGAAACACGCCGGGTCAAAATGGATGCAAATTGCCCAAGATAGAGAGGCATGGAAGAAGGAGGAGGAGGCCTATATCCAAGGATGAATATTTAGGGCTGTATAGATAAAATAAAATACAAAATACTGTGTTAAGATGTGGCAACGAGTTGCGAATTAACGCCGAAAGTAAGTTTGAGTGTAAGAAACTTGTCCTTAGACAGAAAAATATACCCAAAAGGTAGGGATTTACTCTATCAACAAAGAAAGAAACCATTTTGGAAATAAGTAAACTGCCGGTAGAGAAAATAGTTATGTTATTTGCAGCTTCATTACATTTAAAGTAAGAGCACCTGGGCAAGAATTCGTAAATAACGAGTTTGAGAATTCTTCTATTACGATGGTTGACTGGTACTGATTTTACACTGGTTATTAAAATTGCATCCTTACTTACTTATACAGTGGCGTTACAACCCTTCGTGGGTTTCAGCCAACTTGACAACATGCCTCCACTGTTTTCTGTCTTAAGCAACCTCCATCCAATTCTCCACGGCCATAGTGCTTTGGTCTCCTGCTATATTATCTCGCCACGGAGACGAGGGCGTCCGCGTGGTCTCCTTCCAGTTGGGACTTCCTCCCACACCAGTCTTACTGTTCGTTTGTCAGAATGTCTTCTGAGGTGTCTCAAATACATAGTCTCTCTTCATTTGATTTTGTTATCGTCCACGTTTCGCTTCCATACATCAAAACGGGTCGTATGATTGTTTTATAGACCTGTATCTTCGTACATCTTGTTAGTTGTTTCGATTTTATAAGCTTTTGGAGGGCAAAAAGACATCTTTTGCCGGCCTGAATCCTGTTGTTTATTTCTTGTGATCTGTTACTGTTTTAAGTTATTGTTGTTCCAAGATACTTGAATTCTCTAACGCGCTCAAAGTTAAAGTCATCGATGGTGATGTTCTGACCGATTCTGTCTCTGCTTTGGTTATTGCAGCTCATATACATATATTTCGTCTTGTTTTCGTTGATTTGGAGCCCCATCTTCTATGATACCTTCTCGAACCTCACGAAAGTCTCCTTCATCCTTAATTGTATGTTTCCTATTAAATCGATATCGTCTGCAAATGCAGTAGTAAGTTCGGTCCTTCTCGATGAAATACTGTATTTGGTTTTTCGATTCTTGCACTTCGGATTATGTGCTAGAGAGCTAAGTTGAAGAGTTGTGGTGAAAGTGCATCTCCCTGTTTTAGTCCATTGTTTATTTCAAATGTCTCCAAGTATTGTTGTCCAACTCTCACTTTACATCGTAACCGTTCCATACACATCCGTATCAACCTGACTAGTTTTTTGGAAAGCCAGTTCCTGCATCGCTGTCCACAGTCTGGGCCTGCAAAATTGCATCCACCTGTTTTATTAAGGTGAGTAATTTTCATTTTTAGATCTTTTAAAGGTTAAAAGTGGCAACAATGTCGAATGTACGTAAAAATTATTTTCTTGTGCATGTCTGCCATATTGTTTTGAAATATTAAAAATATTGAATATTTTAAACAAAATTATGTAGTTTGTCATAATTAAATAGTAATAAAATCAGTGATATTCAGTATGTTTTAGTTACGCATTTCTATTTTTGCTTAATTGTAGTATTACTATTTACTATTGTTGTATAATTAAAAAAAAATAGGAAATATCGTAAAAACAAATAAAAACCAAACGTTATTTAAAGCTATTTAAAATCTTTCTGACCATTTAGACTCTTGCATAAAAATTAAAAACTTAAAATATTAAATCTCATTTGTATAAAATAAATTACGTAATACATTACATTATGACGTTTTATAATATCTATTTGAATTTAGTATTATCGTTGCACATTTACTTAAACCGTCTCTGGAAATATGAATGTCTTGACTGCTATACCATAGTATAAAGAGGTTCCACCTGGAACCTCTTTATACTGTGGCTATACGTTTGTAAACAGGTATAATATGTAGGTAGTACTTATTTTAAAAATGATAAGATTGTATATCTAGGTAATATTCTATAACAAAGTTCAAGGATAACTGTAAAGAAAAAACTATTATTTTTAACTGATAGGTAATATGTAATTATATCGAAAGATTTCTTGGATACGTAATCCATAAATTATTTTTATCAATATTTAGGTTAGGTTAGGTGTTTCAGGCGATTAGTTTCAGGTGTTACTATAAAGTAAATTAAGTATAAATATATTAAAATATAAATATTATTTTAATCAACACTTGATAAGTAATCGTTCTCAGTAAAATGTAAACTGCACATAGTCACTTACTTGGTTATATGTTTGCCAATTCACAAAAAGCATTGCCAAACTTTTCTTATATTCTCGTCCAGCGGAAACATATACATATATATGGAATTTTTTTGTGAATTATAATAGGATGAACATTGAGGAACACTGCAACAGTTTTTTGAAGTCGAAGTCATTGTTAATTACAATATAAACCGGTCGCTAATATGTATACAAAATAATGACAATTTTAATGTTTTCCCGAAGTGGATGCTTTTGAAATCTACCACCAGGCGTCGCCCACTTTGCGGAACCTCGCCAATACTCGTCCTAAAAGACGTTTATTGTGGCTCATCTCTTGGTTAAAGTTGTCCTTTTAGTCCAGACTTTGTAGCAAAGTCTATAAGAGCCTTTTATGAGAACGAAGTACGAGTACGAAGTCATAAGTCTCGAATTAATAATGCTCAAATGTAGTGAGCCTTGATCCTATACCAGTTGCACAGAACGTGTTTCACCTTCTGGTCTTCAACCTGACAAAATCTTGTAATGTGCTCCTTGACACGACAGTGTCCTAATAGGAGACTTACAATAGTAAATAAATTCATAATTCATAATTCATAAATTCATAAATGGAATTCATAAATTTCCACAAGGAATCTACGTTCCTGTAGTTGGCTGTATACCATATATTAAAAAATTTATTAAAAATCCTTTTTAAAAGGTATATATTAAGAACCAAAACGGGCTAAGTTAAAAAGACAAAACGTTTTCGGAATCCATATTCCATCATCAGTGTCTAAGAGTACATATATGGGTAAAAACCCGTTAACAAATAATTAATTACATTTAGTTTACAAATTTTCCTATAATGGTTTAAGATGTTAAAGTTACCGTTGGATTAGGTAACATGGCAACATATGACTCCACGTTG